GTTGTTGTAGAAACACCATCAAGCAAAATGGTACAAGTGATAATACCCAGAGCTCAGTCACCAGCCACTCTGGGTTGTCAAATTATGTCATAAAAGCGAACTCCGACTGAATATATGGCACACGTCTGCTAGGAATTAAACCACAGTGCAGCAATGCATTTAATGAAATCCATGTAAGGACACACACAGTGTTTCCAAACATTGGGCAGAATAATAAATTATGGGCACATCTCCGTCTGCGCTGACCAGAAACTGTTTGGGATGTTAACTGTCTTCAAACTCTACCAACAGTATCAGCCCTCTTTAAGGAGGGAAAAAGCGCAGTCTATTTCACACGCAATTGCTAATCACATCCAATGCTTGTACAGGCACTGGCCAAATAATAGCTTCTACCCATGTCCCCAACTTACACAGGCCTAGAAACACCTTATCCTATAGCGAATCAAATAATGCAACAGTATTCACTAAAAGGAGCAGATAGCAACACGATATATGTAGGTGAACATGGTATTGACGATGACTGTTATACAGGGTTGTCATGTCGCGCGGAACCAGTGGATGCCAAACATATTTCTGGTTGGTAAACGAGCTTAAATACTTCAAACATTATTTCAACTCTAAACTTTATTTAGTCATTATCATTGCTAGATCTTTCCTGGACAAACTACCGATGCTCAGGGCATACCTGCTGGTATATAAACATCCAATAATCATTATCGATGAAACCTGGTGTCACTCCAATACACCAGACGAAAAAATAAGCATCGATGGGTACACACTTTCGATGTAATAAGGGAGGATGCTGTTTAAAGGGCTTCATGAAAACACTTGCTGTATCACGGCCAGAAAACAGGGAACTCAACGAAATTTAGGACACCCTCTGGGTTAACGTACACTTCAAAAGGGCTGCACTACTAAAAAGATGTAAATGCAGAGCACTTGGCGCTTTCAGCGATTACGAGACCTAACTCATCAGTGTACTGGAGCAAGTACCACTCTTCCATAGGACCACAAGCTCATGTGTAGGAATTTCAATCTACCCGAAATCAACTAGGATTGATTAAAAGGCCCAAATAAATATGACAAGCTCTTAAACACAATGGACATTTTCGGCTGGAAACAAAGTGTAACCATCCCTACAACAGGTGACGACGTACTACACTTAATATTCTGCCAAAATATAAGTCCCCTCTCAATCTTTGAGGATTCAAGGTTTTCGGAAAACGACCGCAAAACAGTGCCGTGTGCACTGCCAATTTCACAGGGTAAATATGGAGCTTATATATTTGCTTCACAATAAATAACATATAAGAACTACAGTAAAACAGACTGGGCTTTCGTAGAACCAATGTTAAGATTCTCTGAATGGGGTGGATACTTCACTCCTGATGACATCTCCAGAGACCTGGTCATCTTTTATAAGAACTCAGACACATGTTTAGGTGCTGCCATTCCAATTTAAACACTAACAGTTTCCCCACACAGAAAGTCATTCATAAAACGAAAATATCGTACGAATATGAAGAGGCTCGACAAGTTACTTCAAACATCACGACTTCAGCAGACTAGGGTCAATACATGGAGCCCATATTTCTATCTCACAAGCTCGAGATTTGCGTGTGAGGAACGAAGAAAGTATCGCATTAGTCAGCCTTCCTATAACATGCTCTAACAGAAATTCTAAAGAAGTAACTGGCTCTTGGAAACCACATCATCTCTCTCGGAATCGACGAAGGTCGGCTATGTGGTGGCTCTGAAGACATGTGTGAATTATTGGAGAAAACATTTGCGGCCTACCACCTAAAACCTACAGTCCCACTACACAAAATGCACGACGAATATATATGATGCAATTAAAGTCAAAAGTCACTCAAAAACAAATTGGTACCGTTGAATTCTCTTATCCTAACATTAACCGAGTCATTAGAACTGAAAGAAGGTCTAAAGATTTTGGCACTGACGGTATATCAGCGTATTTCCATGAACATTGTGGTCATGACATTCCCATATTACTACTTAAAATCTTCACGATCCCCTCAGAAATTCAAGCCTACCGGAATAGATGAATAACGACATTTATTCTGTCTAAACACGAATGAGGCTCAAAACAGAAGTCAACAACCACAGGCCTACCAATATCATACACACAGCATCTAGAATTATCGAGAGACTAATTAAGTGTAATATGCTCAAGTATATACTTGACTGAAATATTTTGAATCCGAGAAACATGGATTCCTGAAATCGCTTTCAGGTCCGACCTCAACTAGATTTCTTTAATTTTTCGACCAGTGGCCGTGACAGATGCAAACTAGTACCCCCCCCCCACCATGTGAGGTAGGTCGGGCTTAAGAGTCAGCAGGAGGTGCGCCTAAAGATTAGATATAACAGATTAGACAGTCGCCAAACGTCCGTGAGGGTTATTTCCGGTGGAAACTGACTTGAAGCGAACTCGGAGTCGTTCAAGGAGCGTAACAGACCGATTCGCTAGAGGATTTAGATAGCCTACACTTTGAGAGGAGCGTCGGGGAACCAAAAAGAGATGATACTGCATGGAATCTAAACGGAAATGCATAAAAACGTTCCCCGTATTTGTCACTGACACACCGAAAACAACCACATCTTTAGCGATAGAGATTAGTTACTGTTCGTAAAGAAACTCTCTAAAGGCACCTCTTTTATCTACCCATGGCTAAAACTCTCAATTCCTGCAATGGTGGCGAAATTGAAGGCATAGTAGGCGAAAGGGCTTCATTAAAATAACATCTAAGGTAAGTCTCCAAGCAACGTTATGGGGATTTTTTGATAAATATTCCACTGTGTTTCTCATTATGCAGCGGAAACTACTCCCTAAGAAGTCTTCAGAATGCCGTTCTCTGCATCTTTCAGTAATCGTGGGTTTTGGTTACCAATAGAATTTCATAATCCACTGAAAGAACTGAGGATGTTCCCCTCTCTCATATTCAATTTTGATAGAATCTGTGGAACACTTTCCACAAATATTAATTTGCTACTCCCAGTAGTATCAAACTTAATCGAACATTTGATGGACAGTTTCACACTGAAACGCCTAACTCAAAATCAGATATCATATGTGGTGCTTAAATGCTTCAGTGGATATCATTTCTGCATTACCGGCAACTTATTAGAGTAAAGGTGTTGGACATCCACGCCTATGTGGCGAAATGTAACATCACGTGAAATTTGCCGGATGGAGTCGTACTTGGTTACGTCTACACTTCAGTAGGCTAGGCCAAGTGGGTAATAACTGCTTGTATTCTCGCGAAACTCCTGCAACATCAATTGTAAGGGATGTATGGAGGAATTTCAGTCATTGCTGCTCGTCATGGAACAAATGAATATTTTTAATTGACTGGCCACTCAGTGTTTTCAAGTCTTTGTTAATTTTCGGCATAAACTGAGTATTTTGAAGAAGTCATATAAGAGCTTATCTCAGCCGGTTAAAGTTAAAGCGACCAGCACGAATCATACAAATCTGAACAAGATGCTATGAAGTCAAGTACCACACACACTAAGGCTAGTATTCAACCGCACCGGCGTTCGCAGCTGAGTACGATTTTCCTCCACTTTCACGTCACCTTATATTCTTCTAGAAAGTAACTTCAATAAGTTAAGTCAGTGTTCTGTTAGCAGATGGATTAATGTGGTGGCTATGAAACATGGAGTGAAAAATGACGTCCAGACAGTAACGAATTCTTTCCAATCCTTCGTTTAAACCTCCACTGAGTTCATTGATAACCCGCTGCACCCATCTTTATTTCATGCTAAAATTTATTCCTCTCGCAATTTCCCGCATTTCAGATGTTTTACAATATGACTGATAACTATCACTAGGTCTCCAATACAAAAACATAAACCACAATATCTATTTCAAATAGATACAACATTCAACTAGCCTTCACTAATGGGATGATGGTTGAATAATGGACCGTTCACTTTCAAATCTAGAGAGATAAAGAATATACCGTAGGCTCCCAAAACTCCCGATGTGGATAATGAAAATTTGCGAAAGGGACAAAGTCAATTTTATTCTACATTAGCATTGAAAGTTGCCATAGGTTTTTCCCGGAGGCCTGAGAGCATTTTATCAGTCAAAGTCCATGCTGTTTAAACTACCTTGATCTTATGTAAACTCGAGACAAATATTTTGACAGCAGAGCAACTTTTGGAAGAGTCGAACAGTTTTCGAATAGACCTGAAAATATTGAACGATTGGGTACACAAAAATATGCAAAGTGGTGCGACAAAGAGCCCAAATACCACAAAGATAAAGTCACTCACTGTGCGACATAACTTGGTCCTATAAAGGCATTCTGCCATTAATTCATAACAAGCTTACTGGTGACAACCGAAGAAACGTAGCATGTTAGAGAGCAGGAACACGATTGAACTCACATTTAGTTACTCTCCTCATTGAACTCTTTATCAGTGCCTGTGGCTACTGAATTATACGTGGAGGCTGGGCAATACCATAGTGACACAGACTGGGTTCAAATGGTCTGTTGTCGAATTTCCCACACATATCACTATATATGGGTATACCTAAAAATTCATGCTTTACCACTTTCCATTCCACAAAGTCTTAATCTTCTGCCTTTTCACTACCTTATTTTAGTTTCATTATATTCATTTTTAATTATTAAATTTACTTGTTCGTGAATTTTTCTTTCACTGCATACAAACTACACAAGATATGCTATGATTATTATCTTTCTTTTCAGTCTTGAAGAGTTACTAGTGAGTGAAACGACCAGCTCCATTAACAGCAGTAACGCGATTTGCACACACCGAGTACTGCATTCTTCAATCTGGACACTCCTTCCCATAGAGCCAACTTAGTTCGAGGCAGTCAAGGGAACAGATATACTACACAAAAATTCGCCAGAGATCAAGAAACTTTAACTAAGAAGCAACCAAAATTATGCGAATTTGGTTGAATATATTGAATTTTGAAATTTTTTATTCCACACTTAAGCGGTGCTGATTGGGCAAATAGTGCTATGGCAACTATTTTTCTTCTCATTTGAAAATGTCAGAAATTGATGACGATGACGAATTTGCAAATGCCTATTCACTTTTCCGTGCACTGGAGGAGAAAGGAAAGTACATAGGACGAGTAAGTGCTTATAGTATGCTCTAAACGCTTTTCACTTTGAAACATAGACCAATATATTGCAATCAGTAATATTGGTTGGCAAAATATCACCCCATATTACGGACCATCTGGCTATCGGAAGTAAATTCGAAAATAAAGAACTAAACTATTGAATTAGAGTACTACGATAGTCTTGCACACAGCTTTTCTTCTCCAGATCATATCACTGGCCTCTTGATGATATATCCTTATCATGTCATTCACATAATTGAGGTAACACGGAACATTTTTATATCAGAGAGAAAAGTCGAGCTTCAGAACTTTGTTAAAAATTTTCAGAGCAATTGACAAGTCAGATAAAATCATCGAATGGTACATGGAGTCACACACAGAACGAATAAATTTAAACTTAAGTGAGGAAGAAGACAGAAAACCTTTCTCTGGTTTTGATAGGCAGACCATACAAGAAATGTGCAGAAAATATGCACTGGCACCAACGATACATAATCGGATACTATGTTCACTAGATAATGTTGTTCATCGAATATTTCGCACATATGAGGTTTTGGTACTGGATATGGAAGCCACTGTTATATCTGACTACGATTCTAATGAAACTGACGAAAAAAAGCTGCTTGACCTACTTAGCCAGGTGACAAGGTTAAGTGTTCATCTCGCGGAAGAACCGATGAAAGTAAGTTGCCAATTATTCTTTAGGTTAGCTAACGCTTTCAGTTTCGTTTATAGATTAATGTATTTTTAGATTATTTTAATAGTAGGGTAGTTCAAAGCATTCTTTCACCTCACATACCTTTCAGCTGCATAGAAAAAGTAAATATGCTGGAAAATCAACACCTAACTAGACTAAAAGCTGCAATGACCTATAATTAGTTCACTACCTTCCTGTAGTATTTTAGTGATGATAAGAGGCCTGAAAATGTTGGTCTCTTTTCATATCAGAAGGCCAGTAATCCTCTCACCAACTCATCAACCACCCCTTTACCTGGTCTGGGTACGAGAATTACCTATTTTTATATCACATTCAAGTTTCTGAATTGAGTAGGTAGAACACAGTGTTCGGAATGTATCCTCATCAAGATATCTCAAGGCCATATGAAGAAATAACAAATAATGAACTAAGCTAATCTTAATTTTTTAAAATGTATTGCCATCTCAAACTTCTGCTTGACAAAAATTACTGGACCGGTTTCTTCAGACCTAAAATATTGTTGCATTCAGATAATATAGTCACTAAATTTTCAGTCGAATCAATTTCTAAACCTCTTTATCGTGGCTGTTTGGTTCAAAGCCAATTTAGATGCCTATGCATACCTTTTATCTGAAATAACCGACAAAACATTCAAAACATCAAGAAATAACTAGGGTGAAGGCTTGAACACACTCGATAACTTATTTATGTAAAGCAGAAAGCTGAAAAAGTTGTCGGAGTGCCCCTAATGCTTATCAATTTCTGTCAACAGCATATTTCCCTCTCTGTGTCATTCTTTCTCCTGTCATGCAAATAATCGTCGTACTACTTCTGCATGTTAATGCTTAGTACGATTTTTAGGCTTGAATGAACACTTACGCAAATATTCCAATGAATTAGTTATACATCAGGTCAGCAAGCAGTCGATTGTCCCCAATTTCCACCGATTACTTTTAAGTTAAAGATCAATTTAGTGCATATATGCGCATGAATATTAAGCCAAATCGATTCATTAACAATAAGTAGTATGAGTTACTTTCTACTCATTTAACATGCTATACGAATAAGATGAAAGCATCAATAGTTACACAATATTTATTTATTGGGTCCTTGGGAAACCACCATTATATTTCTATCTGTTCTCTTAAGAGGACGTTAGTACTAATGTAGGGTGAAATGAATCACGATTAATGAAAGATTTAAGCACCCACATAAATAACAGATTTGAAGGACTCTGGATGTGAAAGTTTCTGAATTGGGTCCTGATGTGAAGGACAGCATTTTAAGTAATCAGACAGTTTTCCAAGTTTTAATACGTCTGACATTTTGACTAAGTTCTTACAACACAGAGGATATAACATTCGAAAAACAACAACAACAATGCAATTGTACCAGCTGGTTCTACACCTTAAATGAGGGTAGACTGTGTAGAGCCACTCTACACAATCATACACTTACTGTTTTTCTCACCTAATACTAAGGTTGCTCATAATATTCAGTTGATAGCCAGTGTTGTAGATCCCTCATAAGCATAATCTTAAGTGTAAACCAAATAAGTTGCGGAAAGTTCGCAATTATAGTCAGAGTATTTTTTATTTTCCAACTGGATTTCAGCATATTAGAATGTATATCTCAGCGACCAGTTATCAGAACAACTACAGGGACCACTATCGCCATTCGAGTGACTGAATAATGTAATATCAGGTCGTTAAATAATTGTATACCCACCTACAATATTTCATGCAGTAGTGCATCATTACAGTCTAGATTTTATGCTAAAATATAATATCAATAAAGTATATTCCGTAGTATGCAAAACTCTACAAATCGCAAAGTAATCTTCAAACAATCTGAGAAACTCTACTGGTAAACAAAATATTGTATTGCAGTCTATTTGTAAAACACGAATGTAACTTGTTAGTCGAAAAACGTCTTTCAGTTTTATCACACCAGTCAAGGAAAGAAGTTACAGTGCATGGAAACACGGCTTTTATTTCAAAATCGACATGCTTTAGTCAAAAGAAAAATAATGGTGAAAAGCTACTTGCAATAAATCCTTCTTCAGGCTATACAATTGTAAATCCATTAATCTTAGTACACACCAGTCAGTACAGACAAATCACCACTATACCGTATACTGTCGTAGATGGAATCAAATATATTTGAAGTATTAGACTGAGTGGTAGACAGCTATTTTAAATTGTTATTTAAATGCATATAAACTCTACACTCAACAAAAATGAAATAAAATAGTTAAATGACCTATTTTCGGCGTTATGATTAACAGAACTGTAGCTTTCAGTGGGTGATTTATGAGCAGGGCGGCTTGAGAAAGTGTGAATACTGCAAATAAAGCAAAATGCAAATCTGATACTCTGGATGCTAGTTGAGCAGATGATACGTAACGATGATATTAATACTGTGTTGTGAATGCTCAATTTAATATAGTATAAAAAAGGATTGTTTGAATACAATAAAAAATGTGAGACGTATTGCATATAAAACTAGGTAAATAAGTGATGTTAATTGATTTAACAGAAAGGAAAATAAAGTTGTAAAAACGTTTGAACCTAAGGTCTGTCAATTAAGAAACAGGGAGATGGAAAAAGAATGAGAAAATATACAAAATATTACCAATCAACCAATTTTTATGTAGAATATGCTAAATTGATCTTAGGCGAAGTTGAACTAAGTTACTGTCTGATTTCCTGATCTTAATTGTTACTGTTTCAGCAAATCAGACTGGTGCGTTAGTTTATCCAAGATACGTTTAGATGTACATTTGTGTATACCTAAATGACAGTCAAAGTTAACTGTCTACCAGCCCATGTCGTAATTCAAGTGCATTTGATTCTCTCTACGAAAGCTCACTCTCTTGTATAATGCTAATTTACCTTTATTGACTAGTGTAAGCTAAGATTAGCAGATTTATAACTTGAAGAAAACAACTACTCGCTATATGTTTAAATGCACTGCTGAATCAGAACATTATGTTCTATTCATCAGGAGGTGATACTGATGTAATGTCTGCCACCTTTTAAGGAATTCCACCAGATTGTTTTTATGAACAACCGAGCAAAAATGAATTTTGTAACTGAAATTTAACTGAAGTGATATCTTAAACGATTTCAGAAGTACTTTTAAACTTACATCCAAATCTTGAGGTGTGATCTATGAATGAATTATGGATATTGGAAATTAGAACTCAATTCAAAATATATGCCGTAAAGTTAGTTCCAGTAAATGAAAGCGCCACTAAATAATTCAATCGAAGAATCCAACTAAATGTGATCTTTAGAAAATTTTACCCATTCAGCTTTGAACAATTCTTTCTAATGCGCAATTAATTATCAGTTTTAAATAAAACTGGAGTTTTCCTATGTGATTCTATAAAAGACACTTGTAATATTTGTTTTTAACTATAACCAGCAATGATGGAATATAATAGCACGGAAAACACGAAAGGCAGAAATCCGTATCTAACAGAATTATCCGTATTCTGCATTCAAAATTAATAGAAAGAAATAACAGTGAACATTTACATTGTGGACTAATAGAAATAATCACTTACTACTACACTGCTGCAGAAATAACCAGTCACTAACCACTTATAGTGTCTCATACGTATTATCTAGAAGTTATTAGTAATAAGCTTTGTAACCCATTGATAATATTTAAAATGTAGAAGCTGGTTCTCTTCTAAAATGAATCCATCATTCCATATTGATTTGTTTATTGGATATATTATGCACTGAAACAGTATTACCTACTAGTTGACGCTTCGAAAGCAATTCATGGTTCATTGTCATATCAGATGATATGATTCTGTTCGAAACATCATCCAGTAAATAATACAATTTCCCTGTATGATATATCCAATAATCAAATTAATACGGAATTACATAATACCATAGACTCTAAGCAATACACATATATCAATATGTACCCATCATATTATTTTACCAAAGTTTTATAAGAACAATTTTGCTTTATTTTACCTGTGAAGACTGTATTTTCAGATAAACAAAAAGCTTTTTTTCACTTATTTTATTGCTAACAAAATGTTTTAAACCGAATTGCCTGCAGTGCTACTTACGCATAAACAATTGTTTTTTCAATTGTATTATAGGGTCAAGAAGAATATGTTCCTGAAATTTTTAGAGTAAGTTTGCTTATGAAAAATTAATTGTCAGTGCTAACACACTCAGGGTATGTATCGTTTAATTACCGCATTATTAAAGGGTATAGAAGGTGACCACCTTATTAAACGTCAAAAATCCTACAGTTGTCACATCTATTTACGAGTGCTACTAAACACGTCCTCTCCAATTACTTTCTTTCACTTAGAGGACTAAACAAATCCTGAAAGATCTCAACAGATATTCCCTGAGATATAATTTTTCACAGATGCATATGAAAGCATCTCTATATCTTAGTACGGTTTTAAGTTTCATTGAATGAATTGTGGAGAACGTGGTGAACACCAAAACCTTACCGTTAAATACACAAATAACTGGAGACGATGACAGCTGCATCAAAACAAGAGACATTAAAAGTATTTGTCTGCTGATATTATGTAAGAAAGCAAAATTATATTTGGTCAACAGACACACAGTTGGGGAATCCTCATTATTTCTCCCTTATTATATACGCTGTCACTTACGCTTAACCATTACTTCCCCACAACTGTATGACTACTTAGTGCTTACGGGAAATATAGCTGAATTACTGGGTTTTTTTACAGACAGTAGAAGATATTTGATTTTCTAAACTGGAAGCAGCTTCTTATTTGTTTGTTGTTGTTACGCTCATTGTACCCGGTATCTTTCCACTGCAGTCTGTTTTCCACTTTCTTGATATAAAAAGCGTGCTAATTCAAACGGATTCACTGTACACAATGTTGATACTTCATTTTATTATTATTCCAGACAAATTTTCGAAAGATTGAGTCTTTCCACAACAAAAAATATGGTTGTAAATCATATTTTAGGTACAGGAAGATATATATATATAAGTAGAGGGCACTTAGGAATTCTTGGTCCATACTTTGGTGTCTGTGACTAATTCACCACATATATGTTACAATCCTACTGTTTGTAGTGGACCCTCGAAGACTGTCCATATTACATAGAAAGAAATGAGGATGTTTTTATAACAAATTTAGGAAATCTTACCCTTTCTAACAAGATAATAAGTGGTAGATTATCTTGTTTGTCCTTTAAAAAGTACCTGAGTGACTTAGTTTCAGTGTAGAGCTTTACACAGAAGTGTAACAGCTCATGTTGCCACACTCTATGTAACATACAGTAGTAGAGAGAAAAAAAAGTGAAAGAACCATACAGAACAGAAATGTACGGAAAAAGTATAGTAACATGAAAAAAGTGAAGATTTAATGGATTTGAAACATTTGCTCATGTAGTCAAGACAAGCTCACAGTAAAATCCTAGTTGTAAATAAAAGAAACATTTTTTTTTATTAATCATGCTAACTCAAACACTCAACTTAAGAAAATTGTTTGGTGGTAAGAAAACATCTTTAGTGGAGCAAAGTTTGTTAAGTTTATAGAAAGGGTTAATTTTTTTTCATGTTTCAGAGGAAATTGGCCGAAATTTTAGGCAATATTCGTCAAGTGCACCCTGAGCTGATTCCACAACAAGGTAAGCCATACGTTATAATATATAGAGTATTTGAAAGTTTGTACACGAGTTGTTATAGATGTAAGGTGTATGTAGATGATTTTTGATGCGACATTCAGTCATCAAATAGTTCTATATTGGTTCAAGGGTAAATACACTAACAGCTTGGTGGGTTATTTCATTTTATAGTTTCGAGTGGTACAACACTTAGAGTCATCATTATGCTGTTTGTAATTTAGATAAACACGCTTTTAACTGGAATCCGTTCAGGATGTGAAGGAGCTAGGGTTGCGGCGGCTAGAACACGCCACTGATTTATGAAATATTTAACTGCTGGTTCGAGCCCTGTAGGTCGATACAGATTGCATAGGATCTCCGAGACGTTATATATACATATGTATGTATTCTCTATTTTAACTAAATTCCACACTCCTTCATTAATAATTAGTTATACAGGAATGCAGGAACATATAGCTTAATATTTTCTCCGAAAAATGATGACATTTTTTTCATGTACTAATGTATAACGTTTTAACGACTAAGCTACGGAAATTAAAATACTAGAGGAAATATATATTTCCTCATGTTTCAAGTTGTTCTATTTGTGAATAGTACACAATGCGATAGTATTGGTTTAGATGATTATAAATTTTAAAAAATGATTGATAGTAGGAGCGAGTAAAGAAGGCCTAACAGAAAGTTCAGTAGATAAGCGCAGATAGATGACAAGAAGATTAAGTATATTCAAAATGTGAATGCGTTATGTCCAAATGCAATAAGATGAAAAAAGGGTCATCAGTAGAATACATATAATGTCAGAATATGACAACGTAAAGTGAAATAAAACCAAAAAGAACAACACAGATAAGGAAGTTTTGTGAATTACATGATAAAATTAATAACATGGCAACGATAGAGACCGTACAAACTGTTTTGTACACAAAGTTATGGCTTTATGTTATGTATTGACAAGGCTTCCATTATACAAAGCAAGTGCATTTATGTCCCTTTCGGAAAGCTTTACAGACTGTTAAATGGTGCATCAGATGCTATGTGATCGTTATATACTGTATGCTGTAATACACGTGAATAACTGGCTCTATCCTCTCCTTTGCTCAACCTAGCTGGGATATGTTTCTCGATGAACATCCTGTGTACCTAACTCCACAATAGCAGGTAAAAATATAAATGCGCATGGAGTGGGACAATCGAAGTGACATTTTCTTAACATTAAAATGCACCTGTGGACTGCTAGAGTAAGTTATTCGTAGAGGAGTAGCAAAACTGTTCCCTCAATGAAATTGTCCGCCAATTTTTAAGAACTTCACTTGCAATGTCACCACCAAAATCTAAGTTTTGTTGCAAAACTTTCTTAGGTAACATATTCAACTCTGCATTTATTTCACATATTTTACTGTTAGCCTCGACAAGGCGTATTGCATAACTATTCTTTACAAAGTTTTTTTCAGTTGCCTAAGTTGTTCATCAACACTGTCTTCACTACAAGTTCTCAGGACACTTGCTGACAGAGGAGGTATCAAATTCCTTTTCGTTTACATTGGTAGGAAACTGTAGAACTTAGTTGTCCCGCCTACGCTGATTTTCTGTAAATTGGTGTTTCCAATGTCCTATCAGGACATCAAGGAAGGATATTTTGCTGTTTACTTTTCTCACGCTAGCGGCTAGCAAGGTGACCTTGGATGAATACTTTCAGGGTGTCTTTAAATCACAGTTCTCATCATATATGGTAAATGTATCATCCAAGTTTCCTCTATAAAAACTTACCCTCTTCATATTAGGTGTAAGAGTACCTTTCTCTATTTCAGCAAAAAGTAAATTTCTAAGCACAAGACAGAGTGTAGAACTCATAGAGACCTAATCTTTCTCTCTGTAAACTGGATTATTTAAAAAAAATTGGAAATTCAATGTACACTGAAGTATAAGTTTTTTCAGCTATAAAGCAGGTGGTCTTATGTAAGTCGATGTGACTGCAAATAAAACATATTGTTTCATTTAATAGAATATTAGTAGATAACGAGTAAACATCAAGTGACAAAATAAGTATTTCAGTTAGTGAATTCAAACGCATAATATGCTAGGAATAACTACAGATTTACCTTAATGATTCTAGTGGTTCTACTGTACATTTGGCCACACAGTGATAAAGTAAAACTGCTAAATCTAAAACGGGACGACGTGATAGTCCAGATTTTCGCCAGGTAGTAGAATAATGTATGCAAGGTCTCTCAACATTTCATGTAACTCAAATGTCAATAGTGAATCACTTTTCATTCGTTTCAAAACCTGTGGGGTACGTTCCTCTAAAATATCTATCTTATTCTTCCCACGATCAGGTTTTGAAATTTAGACTCATGAGAAAGGATGTTTAGTATCCTGTCAATATGTTATTGCCCATTCATTATTACAATGCCTGTGCCTTTATCTGGTCGTGTTAGCAAGTTTACTTCATTTTTCTTGGGTACTGTGGTGGTATGTAATTCCGTATTAATTTGTTTATTAAATATATCACACAGTGAAACAGTATCATTTACTGGATAGCGTAAATGACTGGAGACAGGCCACAATTCAAGTTCAACATTCAAAATTGAAGGAAAGAACTGCTGAGAATACCTTCACTACGGTTCAGATCACAGCAAAGTGGGGGACCCTACATGGTATCGCTGAGGAAACCTAATTGGAAGAACATTGGAACTCTGCGAATGTGATAATCAAAAAGACGTGCACAACTATTCTAGGAAGAAGGGGGAGATAATAAAAGTAATAGCTCTCAACGGAGACCTGGAAGCTAATACGAGAGAGGAGAATGATGAAAGAGAAGATAAACCAATACAGAGATGAACAGCAGAAGTAAAAGCAGAGTTTAGTGTAAACTGCACTGAATAAAGAAGAGTGCCAGGAGAGACAAAGCTCAATTCTAAGACACACTGGCGAGCAACTGAAGCAGAACAGGATGCAAGTACACGAGACCTCACAATAATATATCAAATGAGTACGTCTCTGTCTCGTAAAAGATCAATGCAGATGAAACCTATAAAAGACGGTGTGGCGAATCAAATTACCAAGCAGGAAAGACAAATAAAAAAGTCTTTTGATTACTTCCAAATACTTTTGAGTCGACCGTCACCTGCAACTCATTCAAAAATACCATCAAGAGCACGCACAGCACCCTCAGAAACCTCGAGTGCAATCGAGGTACTGAATTCCGAGAAGACAGCAGGACTACAAGGAATTCCACCGGAAAAATTGAAAAAGGAAGGAAAGGTGCTTACCGATTAGAAGAAAGGATACCTTGTGGAACTACCAAAGAAGGCAGACTTAATGCTCCGGATGATCTGGCGCGGAATCATAGACTCGTTCACACTAAGCAAAATTCTAAGTCGCACTCTCCTGGAGAGAATAAAAGATGCACTGGATAGAGAACTCCGCCATCTCTACAGGAACAAGCTGGATGAATTTAAGAAAGACAAATCATATGCTGACCAAATTGCAACTCTACATATCAGAATCCAAAAAAAGCATAGAATGGCAGTCAAAACTCTCTCCGCCTCAACTTTATCGACTTCGAAAAGGCCTTCATCAGACAGCCTTGACAATGAAGTAATTTGGAAACTACTTCAACACTATGACGTGTCCTAAGTCTTTATCAAACTCATTCAACAGCTGGCTACATGACAAGGCAACCTGTCAGGTGATCCACAATGGGAAGCTCAGCGATGTGTTCGAGGTGAATACAGGAATAAGACAAGGCTGCCTGCCTATTATCACCAATGACGTTCCTAACTGTGGTGCACTGGACTGTACGTCAGACTGTGGGGAGCGAGAAGACAAGTGTACGCTGAACCACTGATAAGAAGACTCTAGAAGATCTGGATTTCGCAGACGACATGTATCTAGTGTCACACAGACTCGAAGCTGCCAGCGAAGACAGGACTCCAGGTGAACATGGAGAAGACGGATGTGATGAAGGTAGCCAGCCACCACCACCAACAGCAACAACAACAACCATCATCAACGTAGATATTTGACAGAGGTCACTTCCTGGTTTCACTTATCTAAGAAGCATCGTTTCAATCACAGGCATTAGGAACAGATGTAGATGTCAAAGCCGGCCAGAATCGGAAAGGCAAGATGTGCCCTCATCAACCTGAAACCAGTTTGAAGATCTTCTGCACTCAGCCAGCATCAAGAAGAAGATTTGGATTTTCGACACAAATGTGAAGTCAGTCGGTTGTTGTAAATTAGTGAGAAACTTGCCCTGAGTGTCATGGAAAGCATTTCCAACAGGCTACTGTAGACTTTTATCAACAGCTGCCTTCGTTGGCTCCATACCGAAGATCAAATGGTCGGCAGTCTGGTCAGAAGGAATTTGTAACAAAAATATGTGGAAACAAACCAACCAAGAACCGATCGTTCAACAAATATGTAGGAGAAAATACAGATGGATCGGGCATGCACTGAGAAATCCGTCGAGTGATATCGCGCACTAGGCCCTTTAGTGGAATCCAAATCGGAAGCGACAAGTAGGTCGTTTTAGGGTGACATGGAGGAGATAGTGCGAAGAGGGGATGAGAGATGATGGTCAATCGTGGACCCAACCGAAGAGGACCGCAGAAAGCAGAAAAAAGTGGAGGTGTGTTGTTGAAACTCTATGTTCCACTCAGAACGCAAGGAAGTAACAGTGATAAAAATAATAACACCGGCCTTAGGTAACTACAGTGGTACCCTTAAATTGTGCTTGTACTTCTGGTGGAAATTCCTGTAGCGCATGCACTGTCCTTGTAGTATCAATGCCGTTAAAAGCGTGATGTTTAAGAGTTTTGTGATTTGGATAAACACGTTGACGCCGTAGAATTTTCCAATATGTTTTAGGATACCCGTGACTGATGATGCATTTTATTTCAATTCCTGTTGGCTGTGCAGTTTACATTCATTTGAATGACAAGCAATGATAACTGTCTACCATTCCATCTCGTATTTCAAATCCATTTAATTCCATCCACGAAAATCCAGCATCAGGTATAATGCTAATTTACCACTATGGACTAGTGTATACTAAGATTAATGAATTTATAACCGTAGAGCCTGAAGTGTTTGAAAGCTATTATCTACTCTAATCATTATTGTTAAATGATAAGTTTATATAAAAGAACTGATAAACAGTTACAAGAGTAACTAGTTTCATCTTAAAGTACACATATGCTACACAATGTGGTATATAAATGGGCTAGGGTGTCATCATAACTTTTCTAAAGAAGGATGTTGGTTTGACAGGAAACAATTAAAAATATGGTGGAGTTTTTCACATAATGAGGTAATCCAAGTATCAGGTGATGGTTCAAACCAGTCATTGCTGCGAATTTCTGATAAATCAACCCTACTTAAGAATAATTTTTAATGCTGCCTGACTGACTGGTTTCAACATAGAACTTTGCACAGATGTACAGCAGTTCCAGTTGTCACTCTCCCTCCGTTCAACACACAGAGCAAGAGAAGAGAATGAACAGAGATAACTAAGAGAAGTTAAGTGTGTGTAAGAGAGAGAGAGAGAAGGAATAGTAATATGGAAGAACGACAAAGTTTTATTGGATATGACAGATGACAAAGAGTAAGTGCATCTGCGCTGACATTGACAACGACGATTTTTTACCATATCACCGATTGTCTCCAGTCATCATTGTTTCTTACCATCCCAAGGAATCCAATCAGACAGCAGTCTACACCTCCCTACATGGCTGGCTTAAACTAACTGTTGTGAATTTCATTGACTGATATCATGCTTCCGTTTGGCCACCATTAGCTCGTTTCCAACCTGATCCTATGATACCTAACATTGCCCGTTGAGGAAAGCTATGGCTAGACTGGACTTGCGTAACACATGCCCTGACCCTATCTCAATCGATGTGACTTCAAAACCTAGTAGATTGATTTTCCCTCCTTAACTAGCACCCGACGCCTAACCTCAATATTACTCAACCTATTAGGCAGCATAACATGGGATACAGACACCTGTGATCAAAGACACCAAGATTTTTCATGTCTTACACTTCCAATGCCCATGTCTCAGAGGAGGATGAAAGGAACTTCTGAGCAGTATATACGTCATTTGATTGAGACATATAGGTATTACGTCTAAACGAACCTTCTGTATCCGTGCTGAGATCTAATCAGCAATCAGCCCATTCGGGTTGGCGCAGATTCCCAAAAAAGTGAAGTGGTCAAAACGTTCTACCACCTCGCTTCCTATCTCTAAGCTACGAGTCAATGTAGTCCAGTCCTGTAGCATCATCTTACATTTGACAGGAGCCAGTCGTAAGTCGTATATTCGAAGATGCTGCTGAAGGTATTCAGAAGACTGTATTTCGTCGGTTAGCGTCATCACCTAGGATGACTACATCATCTACATATTTTAAGTCAAAGAGACTTTACCCTGGTAACAAGTCATACACTGAGTCACTGAAATCAGTTAGGGTTTAGTCCACCAGTACATCTATGACGAAACTAAACAGAAATGAGGATAGTGGGCATCCCTGACGGACCCTACCTGTTGTCACTACTTCTGACGACAACTCTTCCTAAACTCTAACCTGGCTGCATGAGTTCGAGTAGAGTGTCTTGGTCAGTCCTCTGTATCCTGTTTTTGGTGCTGTTTATCTACAGGAGGTTGAAATTTACTATAACATCGATTCACGACAATGGTGTTATTGTTATCCGAAATACCTATCTTAGATGAAACTGTCCAACATTACATTTTATTTTAATTTTTTTAAAGATTAATTCCACACACTATTTTGGTACAAGTATGGAATTTTCAACATGCAATATTGGTAGCCCCAGTTTAGCAGGCCGGTCATTAATATCAGGTGTGCATCAGCCAGGTATCGAATCCCGGACCATGTGCATAGTCGGCGAGCGTCCTAACCGCTATGCCACTGTTAATTATAATTTCCCTCCATAGAAATTTGACTGCTATGAACATTACTACAAGGTGCTTATTTCTACAACATTTTGTAGTTCATTAAAGTATCAATAATAACAACCGAAGTTAATAAAAACAAGCTAATCATAAGTAATATTATTATACGTCTGCCTTTTTATTTAGCGGTCGTTGGCTACTTTGCAGACGTGTCTTCATACGAAGGATTAATATCAATCAAGGAATATATGAACATCTACGACCTACCGTACGAAACTTCATTACAATCTGGTAGGTGTACATTTTGTTCAGCTTCTCATAATTTTAAATAATTTGTGGTTGTATATTATGATGAAAGCAAAAACATTACTAGTTGGTAAGAAATGCGATTCAAATTATACAGTAATAACAAAATTCTGCTGATCAAGTGGACAGTCATCGCTGAGTGATTAATTACCTGTTTACACTTAGTCGATGGATAGCAGAATTAGTTGCCATCTGGGTTCACTCAGTGCACCCCAGTCTCTCCTGAAAGTGAGTCGTGGTATCATGAACGAACTGTTAAAATATCTGGATTCGGAATTGAACGCTGCAAGCAAGAATCCAATATGGACTATGGACTTGTCAATTAGTACTGAACAGCACGAGTTTGTCCTGTCACCTTGCTTCCAAGGTCGAACAAGAAAATATTCTATTTTATAAACTTATTCAATAACCATAGAATTAATTTCACGATAAATTTGAACAAAATAAGAAAGACGAAATTCTCAGTGTGAAAGTTTTACTTTATTGGCTCATTCAAGTTTTCAAATGATTATACAGAAAGTAATGTAAATTAGAGTATTCGAAAATACCGACAGGAAGAACACCATGAGTTGAAACTTAGATCATAGGCAGGTTATCTTATATTAGATGATATGATACAAAGTAGTACAGAAAAGGTGGAGAGTAGTGTATGGAATATAGTAACTATGACAAACCTTAAAAGCTTTCCGACAGAATTTGAAGTGGCTGAAAGATACTGAGTGTAGCAAGCTAGAATAGACGCTGTTATTCACTCACAGCACCTCAAAACAAAACAGTATATGACTGGTCACTAGAATACTATTCCTACACTAACAAGACAAACTACAAAAGCAAGATTTATTACTCCAATAAGAGAGAAAATGACCGGGAAATACAGCCATTTTACATGATCAACAAATTACATGGTTACACTACAAAGACTGTTTCGATATACGAACCAAGAAAAAGTCAATAACACGACCAGTCAATTTGTTAAGGTTTAATGTTAGGTTCATAGTTGAAGTAAAAACCAATGATTAATAATATATCTTCTCTCTTTATCCGAACAGTTAGGCGTCTAACCCTTTCAATTTATTTCCGCCGATATCTTTCTATGAATAACTTGAGATGTTACATAAATTCAGTCCATGTCATTTACATTCGAAACAGTCTGATTTCTATGTTCGAAAGATTGCTCGATTAAAAAGGTGAAGTTAGTAGGTCAGTATACAGAAAATACATACAGACAGAACACTACACGAAGTTTAATAACCTCGTGCCACCATGGCAGAACAGAAGTCTGAAGTGATATCTGGGACCTACAAATAAGAAAATGGATTGCCACGAGATGTGAGACAGGGATATGAGTGAATTTTTAATGTAGCACAGTTATCCTGACAAGTGTAGTAAAAGTGGTAGAGGGGACCGCTGGGATTGGAGCTCAACCAGTCCCTAAGAAGCTGCAGCATAAAGAAAATCCAGTTTTGTTAGTGGAACATCTTCTACGAAGATAATTGTGTACACCTTTCTAATCATTTTGAGAATGTTCTTTGGTGTTAGGAACATCCTTATTTTAAGTACAAAATACGGGGTCCTACAACTATACAAACATATAGGAAGTTACAGGCCGGATTTTCCATCGTACTACTTCAGGATTTTTGAACGAGAGTCAATTGGAAACAATCAGCTGCTTTTAATGTCTACATCTAAGCGAGACAAACCATTCCACCAGACTACACAACACACATCTTTTGAAGCTATCTATCAAGTCAATTACTACATGGCATTAACATTCCGGAGAAATGCTTGGTGTAAGAACTGTGAAGTTAAAATTATGCATACAGCGAGACCTTGTTCACATACCAGCTGATTTCTGGTAATTTTATTAACTGAGTAATATAATCACTTTTGGTTTTGATTGATTTCACGTGCAAACCATAGTGAGGTGATATTTATTCGGATTTTAATTACCTGTATTCAAAGGTGTGTTAATTACCTATAATTACAACAATTGGACACTGTGGTAGAGTATAACTCCATTTTGGATAAGATTTTATTTTGACTAATCACACAGTGTTATATAGTAATACTAACTGATGACGTTTCAAGCACAAATTATTGCTCATAATCATATCAAGTTACTCACTTATTACTTATACATTGAATTTAGTCTCTTTTCCTGATTTAACAGCGAACTGTTTATTTATCTACTTTTTTTAAAATCAATGTTGACTTTGCATAAAACTTGAGAGTAATGTTAAGCAACATAAACTCCAAGCCAATTTTAGCAAACATAATTTGATTCAACATTCATGTTTATTTTCATTACGCTTAACCACGAAATTACTAGAAGAAGCTCATAATGTGCAACTGTCACTTTTTGGACAATTAGGTTCACACAGGTTTTATTACACAATCATATACGAGTTACGCTTACTGTACTCGGACAAGAATTTCCCTACTCACCAAATTTTCAAATGCTAAAAGCGCAGGTTTACCTTTTATTGGTTCCCCGGTCGATAACTGCTACCTTGTCGTGGTGGTAGGGCTTGAATACCGTAATGACCCATAATGCTAAACTGACTGGGACTCTGTCCCTGCAGGTCTTACCATGTCAGGAAGGTTGTTTGGATAGCGGTTAAACTAAAAGCAGTTACCATGGCGTACATGGGCTCCAGTATCCAATCGGATCAAATGGCGTATGAACCCATATGGGTCACTGGCAACCACGGAAATGCAGCTCCTGACGCTGCTCCGCTGCCTTGCGAATTAGACTCCAAGTCAAAGGCTCGGGCGGTGGACCACTTGCTTCGGTCTGGGTGCCTGGGCAGTATCTCAGCCCTCACACAATGAATCAAATGAAGCAACAAACAATCAATGAAACTTATCGCGTGCTATTACACGTGTTGCAATTTCTTTCTTTTTTCCCTTCCCGATGATAGTTAACGAATACTGTTTCAACTTGTTAAGCATGACTGTTTTCCTTCCAGATGAAATTCTTTATCCGTTCTCTACGTATATTCTTACTTTTAATCTATTTTGTTTTATTATTATTGTGTAGCGCATCCTTCTTGGTGCCACACTGTACCAAGTTTTTATGCGTTTAAATACAATAAAAATAAATAAATTTCATTGGTTCTCGCTCCACAAAAACACTTGAAATTAACTTAATTTGTAGCTAATTTGTGAATGAATATCGACAAGTATTCACTTTCTAAATCACATGTCAGAACCAGTGAACATTAAGAAAACAAACAAAATATACAAGTCTTAACGATTAACAAAATGAAAATAACGGAAACCTTTTTTGTTTTCTGCCTATAGAGCTTGCATGGCCAGTTCAAAAGAACTCATTCTTTTATACCTGAAGACAATCAAAATTAAAACTATCCACTTAGTTACTGGAAAAAAGTGATTGGAGCTTCTGAAACCCTTCTGTAAAACTTTTGGCACATCAACGATTATACAATAAACTGTAGTTTTGTTCATTTAGGTGTTATTTAACAACCTAAAAATACAAATGCATCCTTTAAAAATGTTTGTGTTTGATTTGAAAAGCCTCAGCTGATTTCTAGAAAGCCACTGGTCAGTGTTTCTTCCGTTGCAACTGGAACGCAGTACACATCAACACTAGCAGAGAGTTATGACTCCTTTTTCAAGACGACCACATATCAGAAGGTAGACAAACATCCACCTTGAATTCAGTTTTAGCAATGTCAGAGTCAACATCATAAAAATTTCATCTCAAGACCACGCACGTTAATTAATCCACTGGTGAAAAAGCCTAATTTTGGACTGTAAAAAGGTATCTAGTCACGTCCTTCGCAATGAATCCTATTCGATAACCATAAATCCATATATTACAATCCAGGAATTAAAACACGAAAAGCGTCAGCCTTTGACCTGGCCAAAATAGTATGTTGGCCCATGTTTTAACAACATCAAGCAATGCATAGCAGTTATTAGCAAAGAAACAGCCCGAAATCTATGAGGGACAATGATTGCGTGCAAGCTAAACGTATCTAACAGCACCGACAAATATTCCAAATGTATGTTATTTCTATTCAAAATGTAATTTACTTTTGATTCACATGTCGAATATATACATAAGACACTTTTCTAACTAAATTTACATCGATGTGATTTGAATTGCAGTGCACTAAAATATTCACCGTCAACATTTTGAATGGATATACTAATACTGAAGATGGTTCAAGGTGATGAATCTCCTCACAAATTTTGTAATTCTGTCAAGAGGTCAGTGAAACATGGATAGTGAAACTATTAGATCTTATAAGTGTGCCAATAATGAGTTTATGTGAGTCAATGCCAAAGGAGTCTTTACACTCCGAAAAACCTTCAGTAACCTAAATTCCATAATTTAGGTGCATTTCTTCTAATGTCGGTTCATTTCTGCGTGTATTTTTTTTTTGTGGAGTTTCGAAGACTGGAAACATGAACTGTTACATTAATGCAAAGTATGAAATGCATCCACCGACATCATAAATAACACGTCTCTGTGAATCAGGTACTTCGAGGCAACTTTTGTGAATTATCAACACACAGGCCACTAAACGAAAGTTAGCTTTCTAGAACGAGTCACAACTTTTCAAAACACAAACCTTCGCTTCAAATTCACGGAGCAGTGAGTTCTTGTTATATGTCATCAACTAAAGACCGGAAACATGACTTAGTCATGTGCATCAGATTTCCAGGAAGACACAGTAATGTGTAAATGCTATCAATATTATCCAATTGCAAAGAAATACTTTTAAAAGCGAATTAGAACTTTGCTAGGCGCTACAATTCTGTTCTGATTATAAAAGTCAAACAGAATTTAGAATTGTTAGTTTGTGAGTTAGGACTTAGTTACTGCTAACAGATTTCCCATGTACTATGCTATGAGCCGCATCTGCGTGAGGGTTAATCATACTACTCAATTGCCCAGGCTACACTATGTTGAGCAGGACTTGAATACAGGACCTTCTGGTTGAAAGTCGGTTTACTTCCACCAATGAGCTATTCAAAAATCTCAGTGTGAAATTTACTATTTCAAATTCCTACAGGAGAAAAATGAAGCCATAGATATCAAAAATCAATTATTCTCCACTTTTTATATCATTTACCTTGAGATAGTATCAACGTTAGAAGTACAAACTATCGGAAAAAAAACAAAACACCAAACAGCATTTCATGCTAACAGTAAGATTGAATCGTGAAAATCAGATCACCATTGCAATAAAGCAATGGTGATAAAGAAGATGGATAAGCTACTTTACACAACACTGTTTACTTGATTTACATGTATCAGATATTCGAATATTCATAATGCCTATATTTATATTAAGGATGAAATGTGTATCATAGCACTTACAGTTTAGTACGTTTACACAAATACATCAGCAAAAATATTTTGTAGAAAAAAAGAAGAACAAACAAAAAAAAGTTAGAGTCCAGAAAATAAATAAACACAGCCGGATAAAGAAAAATACCCACTGCAACCGCGGAAGAAAAAATTGTGATAGTCATATCGGGTGATGAAATCACGAAATGGTCAAAAGCACTACACATTGCGTAGAATCAACCAAAACGATCCTGAAAAAGAAGCAATAACAATATTATTAACTAAAATTGACTTGGATTGGTGTGGTAACGTTGAAATTGTGAAATTTATCTATCAAACAAATACTAATTTGAACGAAATATTCCGATATTGAGTCATAAGAAGAAGGCACAAACAGCGAAGAAAATTTTCCCTTTTCGACGATTCATTTTCATGAGCTATAATACAATCGTAATTATAATTAACGCAGAAATCTTTAGACCAATCAGATACTGGTAAATACTGGCAAATACTAATTTATGGATTATTGAGTCAGTGAATAATTAAGTGTCAGAGAACGCCTCACAGCACCGAACACGTTTCCATCGACAATAATTTATTTGTAGCACAAACAGCAAGTGAAGCGTGCACATTTTGCGTTAAATGATTCCCAGAATAATCACCAAATGGAAAAAAATCCAATATCGACTGATTAAAGTTTGTCTTTAGTTTAAGACAATAAGCACGTTAACTGAACACGACAATTGATTGGCTCTTTTTCATTGTTTCAGTTCGCAGTGGGACATAAGATTTCACGCTTTTGAAGTTTCATTAGCTGTGATGTTAATTTTACTGGGTGACGTCCCTAGTCTCACGTCTAACATTCTTCCTTTTCCAGTTTTATTATCGTTAGTTAACTAAATGGAGTTAGGAGTGTGCCTACGAGGAATCTAATCTTAACCCTATGCATGGTTGGTAAGCATTCTAATCACCATGATTAGCATTATACGACAATAATAGAAGCTCTTCTATATAAGTACATGGAATCTAACAGTTCTTAGAAAATATCCATATGGACATTAGAAAGAAGAGAACACGAAGTTCAGCAAAGATATCTTTTCGGCGATTTCATTCTCAAAAGCTGTACAATCGCATTTATATAGATTATTTTAACATGGATAGAATTATTATTTGTTTAATTTCACATAGTAACGAAGGTGATAATAATTTTCAACTTGATATGATAGTTTACAACCATATTCTAATACTGTGTAAATTTTTTGTTTCTATGCCTCTTGTAATCTATATTCATACCTCCTAACTAACATGTCAAGTTGAAAATTTTGATTTCAATTTGTTTCCATGCTCATTTTGTTCACACCTATAGTTCGTCCTATCCCTGCGTTTCTAAACCTCTTGTAATTCATATCAAGTCGAAAATAATTATCACCTTCGATTCGCCTTTAAAATTATTTCTCCAGTTATCAAATATTAATTTTTTGCATACGTTGTAACTATTTTCTAATCCTATGAAATCTTGTCTCTAAGCCTCTTGTAATCTATATTCGTACCTTCAAACTATCATATCAAGTTGAAAATTATTATCACCTTCGTTACTATGTGAAATTAAACAAATAATAATTCTATCCATGTTAAAATAATCTATATAAATGCGATTGTATAGCTTTTGAGAATGGAATCTAACAGTGTCTGACAAACTGTTAATTTCGTGATTTTGTTATTGAGCTGCATTTTAATGACCAGTCCAAACCTAGATAGTCAAACGACTAATCAATTAACCCTTTAACATTACGAAGAAATTTACCGCTAAACTTTGCGCTGTCTCCAGCAGCGGCTCAGACCGACCGGGCCATAATATCCTATTGTGAAGTACAATGCATTAAAGTGTTGCACCACTGGGCTTGACAAGCTACAACTAAATTCGAACATAAAACATGAACACTGTTTATCATCCCATCACCAATATATGGAATGTAATAGGCTTGGTTATTCGGGAGATTTTGTACACTAGGCGGTTATGTATCACACTTATTGTATGTGTGAGGGCTAGTGGAACTAGTCAGCTTGAAGTAGGTTCTGTTTCACTACTAAAAATCAAAGCAAAATAATTCCTTGACTTAAGTAATTCGGTAGAAACGCTAACTTCAGTTCCACTAAAACTTGCTACTCTCAACACATCAGCGTAATTTGAACAATTCCGATAGCGTCAAGTCAGTATGATGACGAATTTCATTAGGTAGGTGTCTGTGAATGCAGACCAGTGAGAGGATTTGAGTAGAAGATAAAAACAACAAATAAATTTTACTGTCGAAGTTATAAATAAAGACTCCCTTTAATTCTGCCTAGCAGTACAATTTGATAGGAAACATAATTTAGTAAATGGGTAAATGTTTTCGCTTCGCCCCAATAAAGTCTTCAGTCTCCTAGAAAGTAAAAATTTCGCAGTGCAGAATCCAATTGGAACATTATTTGGCTATATCTGATACTGACATTTTAAACAAGCAAACTATAAACACAAATCTGAGGACTATTTGAGAGATTTAAAGTACAAATGTATTCATTTGTCCCTTCCTTTACCACTAGTGAAACATCAACGCCTGAACCTGAGTCTAGGACCCATTATTTGAGAAAAATGAATAAAATGTTAAATCGGCATGTAAATTTCAGCATGCTTTTGGATACGATCTTCAATGTGCAAATTGATGACCTCCCAGACGGTATACATATGAAACTATTTTATATTCAACGAAAAACTTAGAAATATTGTAGAACAGTTCTACGGCATTATAGTTATCACTATGATAACTTCTGAAAACGCCGTATTGTTGACATACTCAGCAAAATAGTATTCATCAAACCAAGCAAAGTAATGCGCGCAAGTTGTACAATTAATGTGAAAATTCACTCAGTTTTGAAAAATGTCAACAAAGAATGCTGAAGCTGTGAATAGTTTACTACACACCTAAATGAATTTCAACAACACTTGTGACCTAAGCAACGCGAATATATCATAAAAGATGAATTGAAAATCATTTTCAAATCTTAAAGCAGTTATCCACGAAAGTTTGGATGATTTCATCGAGATAAAAGACTTAGACAGTCTGAGAACTATATAATTCTACAGGATTTTTTAAAACATAACACCAGTTTGAGTGATGAAAAGTTGATAGCACAACAGAAACGCAAATATGATCCGCAACGACATAGGCATTCACAGATAAGTTTAGCTACAAGAGAGTGAATTAGATTATGACAAAAAAATGGACAATTAAACATCAATATAAACCTATGTATCACAGTATTTAACTTGCCTGGAGCGTATGAACCATATCATTCGCCAGATGTGACAGACGACCAGCAACTTTGGTCACACTTTGTTTAACACCATCTTTGATATTTTGCAGTTCATTAGACATCTGAGATTGTTTTACCTTAGGACGACCAAAATAATCATCACTAGAAATTGATGAACTGCCTTGGAATCTTGACAGTCCATCAGACTCAGACTAATACAATTGATAAATAAGAGAATTCAAGAAATAAAGGACAGTCATATTCCCTTTCCAAAGTTAAAAGAAAAAAATTGTATATTATTAAAATAAAAAAGTCAAACTAATTTGACTTTTAAAATTGTAGGTAAAATTATCATTCTTATAAATGATTAACTGTAATTCATTTAAAAACCATAGTCCGACAGAATGAACACACTATGTGGTGAGCGCTGGTTGTTAGTCAAAATTGGTGGACAGTAATTTACGTCAATGTTTATGTCCCCAGTATTGGTCGTGAGAAAAATGAAAACAAAGGCTTTGCGTAGGCGGACACAGTTAAGATATAGATGATCTGACATTCAAGAAACAGTCACAAAGAGATGCAAGGTTAACTTTCTGTGGGAAACAACCGATCAGAGGACTGTGTTTTTCTGCTAACAATAATCTATAATATGTACATGAAACAGAGGTGATGAAGATTCTTGGCCAACATCAACAGCAACAACAGACGACAGTCAGCATAAATGGGAGGAACCTGAAAGAAACAACCTCCTTCACCTACCTGGGAAGCATCGTTTTAACTACAGGCGAACGGAACTGACGAGGATATCAAAGCCAGAATCGGAAAAGCAAGACAAGCTTTCATTACCCTTAAGTCTGTGTGGAGGTCAACATCACTCAGCATCAAAAATAACATCCGGATTTTCAACTCCAATGTGAAGTCAGTGCTATTTTACGGATCAGAGACTTGCACTGCGCGTCATAAAGAACATCTCAAACAAACTTCAGACCTTCATTAACAGTTGTCTTCGCTCAAAACGCAAGATCTGATGGCCAGAAAAGATCAGCAACAGGGATCTCTGGCAATGAGCGGACCAACCAGGAACCGATTGCGAAACAAATAGGCAGGACGAAATGGAGATGGATTGGCTGGTCATACTCTGAGGAAACCATCAAGTGACATCACTAGACAAGCCATTGCTCGAGTGGAACCCGAAAGGGAAACGAGTTGGTCGTCAGTGCAAGGGTGACTTGGAGGAGGTCATGTGAGGAGGAGATGAAAGCATGTGGGCAGACTTGGAGCGGACTAAAAAAGTTGGCAGAAAACAGAAGACAATGGAGGTGTGCAGCTGAAGACCTATGTTCCTCTAGGAATTAAAGGATATAATAATAATAATGTACATGAAAATCTATAAATGTGTTGATTTCCTTAATAAACGATCTGTTGCCTGGCTCTTGTCTTCTGTTGTTACACTACTACTACAATTGCACTAGGAAGTGAAAGATTTCAAGGAAACACGGTGATGGTATCATATTAGTTTCACTTGGGATCCGAACAAAAGACTTATATAAACTACTTTAGAGCAAGTGACAAAAACCGTAACATCAAGACTAGACTTTCGGAGGCAACAGATAGAATCATCAAAGCTTTTTTTCTACATAAACCAGTGTTGATGCTTCTTTTACCTATGGAAAACAAACTACATCACAGCGGTGCTATTCAACTCTGAAACAAGACACAGAGATCAAACAGTTCTAATGAATTAGAACTTTTCGCTTACACCTTTGATTTTCTATTTGACAAATCATCAAAATTCATGTGTGGATACTAATATTGGAAAGATAACACGCCCCCGAAATCGAAGCAGCTGCTGTCTACTACAAGTTAGATTGTCAACAGAAATTTAGTAGAACTGATTTGACTTCTAAACATACACGAGGAGAATGAAACTGCAAGCTTTAACACCAAGAATAGTCTGCATTTGAAGATTGCCAGGACAGAATGAGACATGTAATCAAAACACCCTGATTTACGATGATTCTCTAATCAGAGTTAGCTAGTTTGAAATATGAACATAAAATTTGCACCTGATTTACATTTATGATGCAGTGAATAGTTTAGAGTAACGCAAAAATGCGTCACACAAACCATTACTAGTTAGACAATAATAATAATAAAGCTTTATTACAAACAATATGTGAACCTATATTACAGATATTGGCAGTTTATTTAGTTCCAAATTATCTCCTCTTCATACAGGGTTTACCTATACGGTAATCTGAAGCAGGTGACGTGACGTTGCCGTATATGAAAAGAGAAAGAACTCTGTAAGCTTTTCTTCATTTTTTAAAGAATTGGACAGCGTCTAGTTGGAAGCCAATTAAATAGGCGCGCGAGTTCATGTGGCAGTCAGATGATACAATTGCATGATTTAAACAATTAAGAATGCAGAAGAGTTTAAGCATTGTGATGAATGAGAATTCTGGTGGCCCAGTGATTTAAGCAGGCCGCCGTGTAATGGTTGTTAGTCATTCGGAATATTAGCACAAACTCTGCTAGGAAGATTTTAAAATTTTGTTTTCTATAAAAAACGTCAAACAATAACTCTGACATAACAAAATACAGATTGCGCAACTGAAAGTTTCTGTTATGTACTCGTCGCTAAATTATTGTTATGGACTGGTCGAGAAACTAATTGTCCTGACGCAAGAAGGCGGAAATCAGAAGACCACTAGGCTTGCGATGATACTTCTATTTTCCAAACACAAGGAGAATGCAAAAGTGGTATCACACCAAAAGTAAGTCACACAAATTGTGAGAACGAAATATATATATGAAAAGGGTGTGAACAATCATTAGACAGTCTTAACATGAATGGCTAATTATAATGAAGTATCGATCCATATATACATAGCGAAATATAGCAGACATGTCAACAACCACCATATATGGATATATGTCACCAAGCAACGGACTGTCAACAAACACTCATATTATATATAAGGAGAATATACGTTGATAAAGGAGACAAGTTCATACAAGCGAAATGGTCATAGACCAAGCGAGCAAACAGAAAGAGAGATCACCATACACACACACATATATATGTGGATACATATCAGTTTCTTACTCAGGTATAACAAATTTCAATCACATGATTTAAAAAGTGATATCCGCTTGTACGTAGTTGTCCTTATTAACCACAACAGAAAGGATGACCACTAAAAACTAGAAAGCACCTAACAAACTCTGTTATTGTCACAGATCACTACAAGGAGTGGGAACCACTCTCCTCCTCGATGCTGAATTTCTAACCTTAAATTTACAAATAAAGTAGTATCTCCCAACTATAGTCAGCTTCACACACATAGTAATCAAATGAAGATAAAATTAACAAACAGTTTTTAGAATTTTATCGAAACCCACCTCATCTCGATCAAAAAATGCATCTGATGATATAGAAGTTGCATTAGCAAACTTTTTGATCAACTCATCGGAATTTGATTTTGTATCTGGCTTGACAGATGATGACAGGCTTGAAGGTTGCCTACTAGGTGACTTATTGCTGACATCCTCCGTACCAGAATAGTTTTGTGTCTTTCTTGATTTTCGATCGAAAGGATCCGAGAAATATTCATCCCATTCATCACCTCTTTGCTTGCCTTTTGACCATTCCCCATTAATGCCCGAAGAAGCTGTTGAACCTCCTTTTAAACACAAACAGGAGAAACAGGGTAAGACAGTTATACACTGACAGTCTGTTCAAAATAACTGATTTTAAACGCAAAATATGAAATGTTTTCATGAATAAAACATAAAAATGAAGAAGAATTTCGAGCTGATGGAATTTACGAATAAAAAGGAAGAGACATGGCTTTGTGAATATCCATGTATGATTTTTTCATCAAAAGAATACACATATATACAAATTTATCCTGACAACAATCGAAAATCACCATACAGCTAATTACTCACAGTTACTAAACAGTAGGTAAGAACTGACAGTTTTCATAATAGTGGCTTAATGACGCTCAAATATTACAAAATTCCCAACGTTAGAATTTACCGCAGTAAAAAGTAAAAATACTGCCTCCACATCTTGTTCTAATATGCAACCAGAGTCATCTTTAAAGATTATCTTCACGGTGAGACCGAATAGTACAATGGTTCTTAGGTTTCCACATTTGTGTATGACGGAGGCTATAGCGATTTGTCACTACAACACGGAATTCTGAGTGCAGAAAAGGTTTTGTGGACTCAATCTCTTCCCCAATCGTTTACTTTCATTTGTAATAATTAATTCTTTATTATTAGTCTTACATGTTCCTTTCGTACATTTATATATATATATATATATATATATATATATATATATATATATATATATAATATCTTAACCATTAGTGATTTGCGAGTCAGTGGTCAGTGTTAAGTGTGCCAGTAATAAAAACGATGATAATAGTAATAATAATGTTGATAATAACCTTAGTGGCAGGTGGCAATAAGAATGTGGTGAGAGCAGGCTGCTAGCCAATTGGTAGACATTAATGTACGTCGGTGTCTAGGTCACTAATATTGGCCGCGAGAAAATATGAGCAAGGCTGATTCAACAACCAATCACAGCAAACTTAACGTGGGCAAATGTGATTCGCAGATAGATGGCTCCACTTTTCGATAGTTACCCGAAACAACCAATCAGAAGCCTGCGTTTGTCTACTTGAATAAGCTATAATAATGTATGTGAAATATATATAAATACGTGTTGATTTCCGTAATAAAACGATCTGTTTCCGGCCCTTGTCTTCTGTTGTTACAAGAACAGTGAACATAGCATGATAATTTAAACACTGCAATAATCAAGTTAGGTCTGAATAAATCTGATAAGTGCATGAAAAGTAAGTCATTTGAACAAAGAGATTTCCAGTTTATCAAGGCAAATAAATATAAGAATTTATTTGTTCAATCTATTTTGGCAAAGGGAGGGACAAAAGTAAAACAATCTTTTTTTCTAATCAACATAATGAGGTCATTTCCCCCGAATTTCAAATGGCTTCAACTGTGCAAACGACGTCTTCGAATTGCATTCGAAAGTTCCGATAGGATACGATAAATAACCATAAAAGTACTTTTTCTATCTAGCTAGTTACCGGTAACAATAAGATGAGGTAAAACTACATTTCTCATTGATTTCGTCTGACATTTTCCCAGGAAGGTGTCCAGTAATGTATCTGTTAAGTTGCCTAGTTGTTCGTTCTCTACAGCTTTTTTTTCCTTCACGTTCCCAGTGGAACATAGGGCTTCAAACTAGTGGTTTGAAGTTTCTGTAGTAGTGTTTATTTTACAGGATGAGGTTGCTAGCCTCATACCCAATCTTTCCTCTTTACTAGCATTATTCCTGGCTTAGCGAGGTAAAGGAGTGCGTCGACCGGGAATCGAACCCCCGACGCATATATACAGCTTTACTCACAGGTATATTTGAAGGTAGCACAGCATAGTAGCAGAACTAGTTGAAGATAATGCTATTCGGTTAACGATACGGTATTGCTCACATAACCACGTCTACCTGAATTAATATATTTATTTATACAGCTATGCTAAGATACCATATTTCACCAAATGATTTCTCATTTAGAAATCACAGCAGAAGACAGTGCCCGCCTCATGGTGTAAGATGACCACAAACCTATATACACCCTTTATTGGTCTTATTTTGATTCCCCTGACTTCTTATTTATTATAGAAGCATTGAAATGGTGAAAAGTCAATCATCCAGTAATTGAAAAATTGTCTACGTATGATATATCTAAGGGATAAAGATGCCAAATGTGAAGGCTTTACAGGAGTAGATAATCAGTGATGTAGATGAGGCTTAGAAAAAACTACATCAAGCGCGTGGCCCCAAATTAGCTAGTCAATATCTGGCTATTGGAAAATTTGATTCAATGATTAAAATTATACAAAAGGAGAACATTAGAGATGAAAAACACACAACTAGCATAAGATTTTCTCAACCATTATTCCTTTGCCATTGGTTCAAGATAAGCGAAGGATCACTTTAGGTTATGTGCGTCGGTGGCACAGTGGTTAGGACTGTCACCGACCATGCACATGGTCCGGGGTTTGATCCCCTGCCAGCGCACACCTGATATCCATGGTCGGCCTGTGAAATTTGCGCTACCAATATCACATGCTGAAAATCCCATACCTGTACCAAAAATACGTGTGGAATCAAGCTGCAATCAGAATCAAAATTAAAAATTATCAACCATCGATCATGTTTTATTAATGACAACCGTGTGCATAGACAAAGAAATATTAGTTACAAACCGAATAAATGATCATCCGTGGAACGGAAAAAGTTATTTGTATCACGATCTCGACTACCATAACTTGAGGTGAAGAAGGGATCCATAGCTGAACTGGTCGATGATGAAATGTGAGTAGGTTCTGAATTCTCCTGTTCTATCCTTTGAACATTTGCAAATGCTGAATGAGATATTTCTCTGAGAAGAAAGTAATAATCGCGAAATACTTAGAACAGAAAATTTGACGTAAATTTTAAAATTCAAACACTATGAAATACTTGACTAATTAGGCGCTATCAACGAAATTAAATTCCCCAATGCTAAAACCCCATAGACAATTTCAAATTATCAGGAAGGTTTAGTGGATGGAATTAACAAGTGTGGTACAACAGTCCAATTTTTCCAATCGCCATTTGGTGAGTCATAAATATTACTAACTGCAAAATTCTGCTAAATTTCATGATGAAACAAGGAGTTTGAATAAGCTTAACCTCAACTTTTAAAAAGGGTGAGTGAAAAACAACTTACCGTTGCTAGTCAATTATATTACTTTTAGATAAGATTTCTTAGGCACTTAACCTGGATTTTAGAGACCAAAAATATCCAAATTTTCGATGTGCTCGAAATTCCCTAAACATAACAACACCATTTCTTGAAAACCATCGGAGTGGATATTTTTTAGAGATTTGAGTTGCTTTTGTGTGCTAAACTAGAAACTCGTCTCTATACACAGACTACCTTTACCGTAGAATACCTTGCTATCCAAAACAGTTTTATTTGTTTATACATGGGACAATTCACATGCATTAAGTATGTGGACACCAATCGATGAGGAATGAGTGCGTCGGTGGTATAGCGGTTAGGACGCTCGCCGACCATCCACATGGTCCGGGGTTCAATCCCCGGCCACAGACGCACTCCTTTACCTCGCCAAGCCAGAAATAATGCTGGCAAGGGAGAAAGGTTGGGTATGAGGCTAGCAACCCCATCCTGTAAAATAAACACTAATACAGAATCTTCAAGCCACTAGCTTGAAACCCTATGTTCCACTGGGGAACGTAAAAGAAAAAAAAATCGATGAGAAATGGAAATCGCTGGATTTTTCTTAAATGTACATCAAACAATTTGATGACGCAAGACGACAGACTACAATAAATTGCATGTTAGTCGAATTAAGCTAACGCATTTCCTTATGATTATCACAATGAAGTACAGCTTTCGCTAAGCTGTTCAGTGCTTTATTATTTATTATTATTATTTATTAAAGATATATGACAAAAATTTACTACTTCAACAAGTAAATACCTTGACACAGAGAATTAAAAGCCATGTTACTCCATTCATTATAAATAAATATAGAACTGTTGATTACATTCAATCTACTCACTGACTATTATTACATTATTATTCTCTTAGATTCCGTGTGAAAACGGAGCTTCAACAGCATGTCTCCACTTTGTTCCACTTTCTGCGGTCCTCTTTAACTAGTTCTTTCTGGCTGGCCATTTGATCTTCAGTATGGAGCCAACGAAGGCAGCTGTTGATAAATGTCTGCAGTAGCCTGTTACAACAACCGACTGACTTCACATTTGTGTCGAAAATCCAAATCTTCTTCTTGATGCTGGCTGAGTGCAGAAGATCTCCAAACTGGTTTCAGGTTGATGAGGGCACATCTTGCCTTTCCGATTCTGGCCGGCTTTGACATCTACATCTGTTCCTAATGCCTGTGGTTGAAACGATGCTTCTCAGATAAGTGAAACCAGGAAGTGACCTCTGTCAAATATCTACGTTGATGATGGTTGTTGTTGTTGCTGTTGGTGGTGGCTGGCTACCTTCATCACATCCGTCTTCTCCATGTTCACCTGGAGTCCTGTCTTCGCTGGCAGCTTCCAGTCTGTGTGACACTAAATACATGTCGTCTGCGAAATCCAGATCTTCTAGAGTCTTCTTATCAGTGGTTCAGCGTACACTTGTCTTCTCGCTCCCCACAGTCTGACGTACAGTCCAGTGCACCACAGTTAGGAACATCATCGGTGATAATAGGCAGACAGCCTTGTCTTACTCCTGTATTCACCTCGAACGCATTGCTGAACTTCTCATCAGGCATTGTCATATAACCAGCTGTTGAATGAGGTTGATAAAGACTTGGGTCACGCCATAGTATTGGAGCAGTTTGGCGTGACTAGTCGACGTTAAACAAATTCAGTGAACATAAAAATTGAGTACACCATGAAATCCCACCTTCCATTGGTTTGCACTCATGTACAGAAAAATTAATTACGCAAGAATTCTTGGTTGACGCCTTATGTAACAATACTGATATTCATACAAAACAGTAAACACTATTCTATAATTTCCTTTTATTTAAAATGGTTAAAGATGATACTAATATAACATTAATATGATTATAGTATGATTATTTTTAAAACAATAAATTACACAGTTTGAAATGCAGACATTTTTACGTAACACGAGTCAGGCTTTACTATTGTATGTCCAGCAGTGAAGTTATGACAGAAAATCGTAAGAACTTAACCAGAGGACTGTATCTTAGTTTTAAATTCCGCTCCACCTACTTCTACACCCAGACAGATGTAGAATATCATAAACCTATGCACAGCAACTGTAGAACGGATAGATATATTAAAAGACAATGAGTGGATTGATAACTTTATTTGTATTATTACGCACACAGAAGTAGGCATTTGTAAGCATGACTGATTTCCGTCTATATCATACACCCATGCGTTATACTATATGACTGTATAGCACACTAAAAGTACAGTTTCAGTGTATACTATAGATTGAATAGGTATTTATCTATCTAGATATACTCTACAGGACTGTAAAACACCAGACTTTTCTATGTTGAAGCTTCATGAAATAAAGCCAGTCAGAAAAACACCATGGTGTAAAATATAGGATAATATTATGATATTGTAGATTATAGCTTATTATTGCTTTTATAAATATTCCCGGAAAAAAAATTGAAGTTTTTTTTAGTACCGAAACAAAGTATATGAGATTTTTGCATCAGTTTTTAGCGGATGACAATATTTCCTTTTTAGTTTTCCAATGTGACAATTTATGCTGCAGGAGTTAAAATCGCGAAATGCAGTTTCCTGATCTATTAAGAAAACTTACAATAAACAGTTTGTTAAATCAGAATGTGGAAGGTCTTATTTATTTAAAATCAGTGTACACGTGAATCATAGTGAAGATCAGATATGGTGCTACTTAACAGTCATATGCAATGATATGTACTGAGTGGTGAGCCATACCTATTTTGTCAGGGCATATGACACCGAATGGCTATCTAAACCTTGGTAAGTTAGGTGGCATTTGAACATGTGAACCAGTGGTTGAAAATCCTGCTCTACGTCAAAATGAAATGATCTTGATCGAAAGAATAAGTACATGAATGATATAATGCATGGTAATTACATCACCCATCGCTGTGTATAACCAGAAATGCTTTACAACTACCCGTAAACTCAAGGAAATAAGAAACACGAGGTTTCTGCAAAAATCAAGTGTATTTCCGATACATTATGAGAAACAGAACTCTGCTGACAACTTGCGTTTGATTTATTAGAGGTGGAGATGCAGTAAATGCTTCTTATTGATGTGGTTTTGTTCTCTTCTTATTGTTATAACACTAGCAGAGAATACCACCTTCACAAAAGACGAGCTGGGAGACTGCCATGAAGACGCAAAATGCTCACTAAGTTTACCTATAACTCTTAACTGTTCCATGCTTCTGAGAGAGCAGATTTCGTAAAAATGTTACCTAACTGCATCTTAGTTGACAGTTTGACGAGAAAGATCTACGACAAAGTGGCGACCTTCACACCTATATGGTACCATTTGCCCTACTCTTTCCGTAGTGTTAAAACATGTTCCTAATAAATGACTTTAGATGCTAAAACCTTACTGATTCATTACCAGAATGAGACTAATGTTAAATGGCACCTTTAACTGTATCGATAGGTATTGCTTTTGGTACTCACTTTGGACCTGTGGCTCAGCCATATTGATAAGCACAACACAAAACCGCTGTAAAAGAGAGTGACCCGTGAATCCTTGTAGAACTCTGCACGGATGTGTATGACTTTAGGCTGTCATACAGCAAAAGATCACGAATGAAATGATACAGAGAACAAATATGTTACTAATGATTCTCAGATTTTATGGGAATTACTCTTCGACAAACTTCTTCTCCTTTAACCATATGACTAATTTAACAGACATATTTTCTGAAATGTTTGGAAAGAGAAAATAATTTTTATTTGTAAAATTGCTAGGTGTATATTAAACATGATGCCCTTCTTTTTAATTCATCAGGCGCTATATGACATATTGAAATAAGTGCAGTCATTTCGATACATATGTACATTTATTTCTAATTGAACCAACTTTATTGGTACCGATGTTTACTGAGTTTCTATGGTTAATTTTGACTTTGAGTTTCGACGACTGACACGGCATTTGTGACTATACTTAGTTTATACTACCATTAAGGAGCTGCAAAATATGTTAGAAAACAGAATCGAAACATTCTTGCCTATGTGAGAGTCAGCCTTCTCCGCAGACGTATAAATTAACTTTTGACTGTTATCTAAATAAACTATCCAGGAAAACTTATATTAACAGTACCATTAGTTAGTTGATGAATTTTACAACCCATTCAGAAAACACTTTCGGCACAACTTAAAATGTTTCAACATTAGTTGAAAAACGTACCGATTCTACATAAGCTTTCAACTAACTGAAAAAACTCAATGCATTTATAAGCAATCGCCGTTTTTCTGATGCACAATCTTAAAAAGTACTTCGTTTCTATCCCGCTTATTGACTCCTATGTTGTTTTACAAGATAATTCGGAATATATATATATATATGAGCTTTGGTTAAGATTATATATTTCATTATCCCATGAAGTATGTTTTCTCGTCAGCACCTTTTATTGAAGATCTTTTAATTACAAAGCTGTTCGCTTGTATATACAACCGATGCAACATCAATAAGAAATGCATACAAATTATTCATATGAACTATGATCAAGGCCTAACCTAGTATTTCACCACACATTAAACGCCGGATTAAAAGTAAATTTATGTATGTATGTATGTGCATAAATGCAGCAAAAAGTTGTGTGAATGACTTAATACGATTATGAGCAATAATTTGTGCTCGAAACGTCATCAGTTAATATTACTGTACAACACTGTGTGATTAGTCAAAATAAAATCTTATCCATAGTGGAGTTATACTCTACCACAGTGGCCAAGTTTTATACTTTTATCAATAATACTATGTATAAATGATGTTGCAGAAATCACAGTGACATGGAATCAAATAATTCCGACGTTTCGTTCAGAGAAGTGTTCAGGACTTTTTTCAGGAAAATAAAATTAAATATAGCAAAATTATGTGTGAATAGGAGTTACGATCTTGCGTGACATTTGAAAGTGAAAGATGTTAAGAAGCTAGCTGCCTTTGATCACAGATGTTTGAGTTTATTCTTTCGTGTTGAGTGGTATACTGTGGCAATAGTGAGGTGTAGAGTATGAAACAAGGACGGAAAGTCAGTCGGAGGCTGCGAAGCAGTATTGATTAAAATAGCTGGAACACCATTTTTTACATCGAGTAAATATTTAGTGATAGAGAATTACGTTGGAAGAGTTAAGGTTGATCAAACCAAAACATCACATCAATCCATGAATTCTCTGACTATTGGTTTGGACTATGTGGGAAGGCGATATATACCTTTTAACATTTACAACTACAAGTTTCAGAAAATCGATTTCAGTGTAAACAACATGTATCATGTACTTACCTATTACCCGATCCAATTTTACCCATACCAAGGCGCTCGGCCTGTTTAGCTCGTTGTGGATCTGTAGACTTCGCATTGACAGCATCTTGTTTTTCGCATTCATCAGTGATATCTTTATAGGCTAAGCGAAGCGACGCACTATTAGAATACAAAAAACATTAGTATGCATAGTAAACTGAATTGAAATTTGCATCGTAGTTATCAAATGATTTTCTGCTTGTACCAAGCTATTACATATGAAGTGCCTTAGTGAATAAAATAAATAATCAAATACTGAGCAATATTTGACATTACTGGTAAAGAATAATTTACACTTGCGTTTATGCATAAATTGATACAGAAACTGCAGTTACTTTCATGCAAAGGATCAAAAACTGCAGACCCAAACGCAAACCAACCTATCATTAACCATTACAAAAGCCTAGAAGTAAAGATCAAATCACACTTACATTCGTTCATTGTCAGTTTTCTCCTGATCTTCAACATCATGCTTGGTTGATTGGAGTTGACTTTCTTTCCGTGCATCGGCATTTTCAGCAGCTGAAACTATCGCCGAGAAATCCGTTTTCACCTTTGCTGCACCCAAACCACCTTTTTTGGCCCCAAGCTGAATGACAGAAAAAGTTCAATTCACAAAAACAAACGAATACATGATCACTTGACTAACTTATTACAGGTCATTGAATATTTAAACACTGAATGTACCCGTAATTAAAATATGAAAACAACAGTAATACGTCGCTCAAAAACCTTCAACTGAGTTAGCCACACTAATTTTTACATGATGACGAAGTTATTTGTGAGGCAGTTAGACCACTTTACCACCTAAAGCCAACCATGTCACCGTGCATCCAAAAGGAGGCGGCTGATTCACCACAACTTTATATATTTCTATAAGAAGAGAGTTTACTATATTGAAACGTCAGTGAGATCCAGTTTATGCACATAAGGAAGAAATGAAACGTCAACGAAAAAAATGTTTCCACTGCAAATTTAATAAAATTCCCTTACAGAGAAAGTCGAAGACTATTGGGCAGTTAGAGTTAAAACTGTTGATGGTGGAGAAATGCTGATGATTCCTTTCCATAAAATAGTCCAGATCAGAGTGTAAGAGAAGAATGCTGTTTTCAAATGGGTCACATTAGGCTTCACAACTATACGGACATATACTTCATTTGAGCCAGTCACAGAGAATTGTAAACAAGGTTATATATTTACAATAATTATTGTTCTAAACCAGAAACATTTTTGAGTGAACAGATGTTTCCAGTAACTCCTTTAGACTCTACATTTATAAGTTCATAAATATAAGAACAAAATGGCCAGTAACGGCAAATCACAATCATCCCAAAAGCTGTATTGGGGTACAAGTATAAGATAGAATAACAGCCCGCTGGATAAGACTGCCAAATGAATGCATAAAAGAGTATCATCATTACGAACATAAGATAAGATGTGAATAACAAACACGTGTCTTCCTGATGTACTTAAAAGCAACGGAGAGCAAATAAATTTTGTTATTTTCAATTCTAAAAGGGATTGTACACCCAAGCAAATTAACTACGGCTTCGAATAATAAATACAACTGAATTTTTTTCACCGAACTTAATTTCACATCGTTGAGTAAAGTGTACAGATAAGCATCAATCAACATTAACAATAAAGGATGAAAACTGTTGTGAACATAACAGCAGAAACAAATGCTAAATTATACCAAGGTATATTTCAACTGTCATTCAGTGAACTGAACTTTAAACTACATAGAAAAATTTCACACAAAAAATAGTGAACACAGAAAACACACAAAAGAGCAAAGGAGTCAAATAAAACATATTGGGGCTACACTAAATCTAGAATAACAAGACAAGATAAAATTACCCGATTAGTGTTTGTTTTTCGACCGCCGATTACTGAGGTTGTCTTGGAAAAAGTGGAGTCAGACGTTGGGGAATTGAATAAATTATCGACAGTTGGTCCGATTGTTTTTTCTTCCGAAGTCACCTCTGCCAGTTAGAAAAAATATCCAGATGTTTTACGTTAATCATTTCAAAACTGTCAAATCGAATACTATAAAAAGAGAAACTATTTGAGATTAGTCTCAGATATTTACCAAATGAGAACTACAACTCTTTTCCATGTAAAACGGTCAGTATTTATTACACAGCACTTATGTGGGTTGAATCTAGAGAGGCTAGAAAATAAGTTTCGGAAACGTCCCAATAAATGTAAATGATAGCCGGATCCCTAACCAGAATGACAAAATTAATCGAAAATGTGGATGATATAAACCCAGTAGTGCTAGTATGTCTAAATGACTAAATTTGATTTGTTTTAATAAGCCACCTCGGATGACAGCTTATCGTAGACTCGAATGGTGTGGCGACGGTTGGCTTTAAGACCGTTAAATAAGTTGGTTTGTCCAATACCACTCTAAATAAGACATCACAGCAACACGTAAAAAGACATTAAAATGTTATCCTGTAACAAAGGGTCACTACTGGGCGTCCCCTAGTTTATGATGTATCAGAGAGTACACCTCTAATTAACCACTATTTAGTAAGTCGCATCATCAAGTTTCAGCATACGTACAAACAGTTCATTAATTCCGATTGGCATCCCCTTGATTAAAGGTATGGTATACGGCTAGCTAGCCAAAAAGGAGTACACCAAATATCAGTTTTTTGACTTAACAAACGAGAAGTAATCACTGAAGAAAAGAGATAGGATTCTGACAAGACGTGTCATCATTCCACTTCTTATTAGGGAATTGTGTGGCAAAGAATGCTGCAACTAAGTGTAGCTGTGAGTAGATGATACCATGTAGTTTATAAGGCATATATATATATATAAGGTTCATATACTAATACTACCCGATCCTATGGGTATGTGATGGAAAACAGTTGGATAAGGTTAGATCAGAACATAGCGTGAATCGAACAAGTTTATTACAATCAATATGAGCTATTTCTGCAGCGAGACTTACATCTTACATGTTGAGGAGGCATGCTTGGATAGAATAGAAAACACCTTTCGACTGGCGCGTCTTAAAACATGTCTTAGGAATGTCAACCCAACAAAGAATCAAAATATGTGCAATTTTATTTTTCCTTCTAAATCCAGAACTGATTTCAACCAACAAAATCCTATTCATATTAGTTTGTTTATTAGATGTATCACACAGTGAAACAGTATTATTTACTGTGTGATACATCCAATAAACAAACTAATGTGGAATTACTATCACAGTGCGCAAGTTTTATACATATATTAAAATCCTATTCAAGCAAACAGCAGCAACTCAAACGTCACGGATAACTGGAAACGAAAGCAAGTGGTGTCGCAGACGACATATCCGTTATTCACTAATGGCAATTCGGGCTTTGCGAGGAATCGAGATAAAAGAGAGGAGTCAATGGTGTCAAGAAAACAGCATTATCTGTAATGCACAGAATCGAAATTTCCCGACTATGAAGAGAAATGTTCAACTTGGAAATCATAGGACTAATACAAATTTACACTAACCAGTACGTATGACTAGAGACACTAAAAAACGTTTGGTTTAAGCCAAAAAGTTTAACTTGATGGTAAATAACCCGTAAAAATGTTGGTCTATGTTCGGGTTGCAGCAGTCCCTAATAAGTTTTTTCCCAGACTTGACATTACGCTGGAATGCAGGAAATTACCATGAAAACAGTCTATAGTGACTATGGAACGAGCAATTGAAAATATGTGAAGGAAGAGAAGGAAGCTGGATAGCCATGCAGACACATACTTCAAGGATTTACATAAGCTATCTCGAGCCTACTGTCCTTTATATCCGAAGACTATTTTTAGTACTGTCTTGTCGCAGAAGAGTTGAGGCGTTTAATCAAAATGACGCCATAAGCGAACTGCAAGCTTCATTTTGTTAAAAGGTATAGGATATGGGTGTCTTAACTAGGGAGATATCTAATACAAATGTTCAAATTGGAAAAAGTGTGGACAGTCACATGTTTACAAAAAACGATTTGAATAACCACGGAGAATCTTATGAAAAAAGATGACCTATTCGAAACATTCAGATATAAAGATACTGACTTGGAACTACTGCAGCAGGCCTGTCAGGCCTCATATCGTTATCCGAAATACATTCTGTGTGGAGCTCGAAAAAATCGGCCACTTTATCACATTTTCCTTTCTCTTCATCTGCTTCTATGATCAACTACAAAAATCACAAAATACAAAAAATTACTTTGTTGCCATGAGTTTTAACTGCTTCAACGGCTAACTTCTCCAGTTTAGTTCGGTAAAGTTGAGCAGCCCGGCTTTGATACTTCTCTTGTGCGTCCAACGAACGGCAGTTATTCTGCGTGAAGAACGACAACTAATCCGGATATAAAGATAAACTGGTGCTTACTGCATTTTGATTTCCCCCTACTTGCATAGCACGCAGTTGAACCCAAGACCAATTAGTATCCAGTTGAGTGGAACGAATGAAGCTAAGGTGAACCCCAAGGGAACGATGAACTGCTGAACAATCGATGCAAAGAAAAACTCCATAAGTTACACTGGCCCATGTGGGATTAGTAGCACCACAATCAAAACATTGCTACAGTGCAGGTAATATGCTTGGAAATGTAATTACTACCTTGTTACATGGCAGAGATTTCAGTTTGTTTAGAACTGTCACTATTTCGTGCTTCGTTGGTGGGACTCCGACCATTTTACAGGAGGAGAACAGCAAAAATACGTGGACTAAGTAACAACACTTGCGAAACTCGCGGCTTTTCCTTCAACATACAGCGCCTTCGAAATACTTTATTCAATATCCTTTTTACTAACCATTATAACCTAAGTTAATTTTACCTTACTGGCTTCTGAATAGTGGGAGATTGGTTCCTGGTTTTGGCTGGATTTCCTCGCAGCCAGTCTTGTATTTCCTACCAATCTCTCTCTTAGACACTGATGCCTGAGAAAGAAGTTCACGGTTTATACCAAGACAGTAGCGCTGACTGACCACACGATATTTTGATATTGAGTGACAGGAAGGACTGGTAACTGTAATCTCTGTGGTAAGCCAGTGTAAAACATCTGATTACTTCACTCCCGCTCTTTAGAAATCATGAATGATGAAGCTCTACCGAAACCAATAAGAGATTTCATAAAATTACTGTGACTGGTATGTACAGTACGTCACTGGCCAACGGATTTGAGGAAACTCCATGGATAGGTCAAAAAACACTTAAAAGAGTATGACACAAGGGGAATAGCCCAGGGAATCAGGAAAATGAGCAGATAAAATAAATGGTGCCATGTGAGTGGGTAGATAACAGGGCAGGATTGTTCCGATACCTTCGTTCCCTCTTGGTATAACCTTCAACTAGTCGCTTTCAATCCAAGACCTTCGTGTGTAACGTCGCTTAGCATATTACTAATCCATCTTTTCCATAAGCATATTCCCTGGACAGTAAATTCTTCTTTGGTTTTATATCAAAGTCCCTTGTGGCTATGTCTTTTGGTTGGCCATCTGATCTTGTAGGGTAGCTGTCATTAATAACACGCAGCGTGGTGGGTTGGAAAACTATTTTTCACAAGGAAACATTAATATATGTAAGAAACAAGGAATGAACACACGGGACTATGATGTGGGCGTTATGATAGGGTGAATGTCTTTTTATCTATGAGTCAAATCTCATTGGTCCATTTACCAAACTAGATATTGATGCGCAACCCCAGTATATTAGTGAGTTGAGTCAGAACGTGCCAGGTGACCTGTGGGACTGTTGTCATAATTTTGCGTCTTTACCCTCTTCCAGTATTCATTCTCCTGAGGTAGATTTTGTGAATATAGTGATCTTTTGGAAACCAGTGCTAAATGAGTATACTGTAAAAATTAAGAAAGCCTTTGGTATTGTTTTCTGGCTATATGTATATGTCTAGATCCACAGTGTAAGTTACTAGAGTTGTATCAGATGTGTGATAATCATCTGATGACTTCACAACTGGTGTTGCGTCCTGTAAAAATGATTTGGTGTTGTTTGAGGCGCATAATACCCTGAGTTCTGATGTGCTGTGTGTTGACGTCTTGTAATGTATCACCCTTTTTATTAACTTTTTTTCCATTACAGATTTTATTTATCAGTGGTTCATATCTCCTGATAAGGTATGTTACAAATGGTGATTAAGCATCTCGTTGTCTCAAACTGATGGCGTATTGGACAGCAGCGATACTGCTGGTTGCTTCAATCTATGGCATTTTTTTCCGACCAATGCGCTTTCTTTCCGCTTGCACCATATTAACCTCTAATAGGCAGGTTTGATGTAAAAAGCAAATCTTAGCCAGGCATCTAATCGTTAAGTTACCCCCGTTGTAATGCAATTTATCAGCGACCGACTCTGTATCGAGCCCCTAAGGTCTTCTTATTCGGTTTGGATGCTCTAAGTTATGAGTTCACAGATGCGCGATCTAATATGTTCGTCTGTGTCGGTGGTCTAGACGCATGCGAACACATGTTTGACGGCTAATGCATACTAGTACTATGCGCAACCGGATTAAATATGAATGAAGTATTTCATGCAAAGCTTGATGACGAACTGAAGAAATAATAATGATTCACAACTTTGACGCAATTCACACAAATATTACTATGTTTCCTATCACTCTCGTTAACTACGCAATGTCCTCGAAATTATGAACAACAGGGATACAGGTGGCCGACATTAATGCGTGTATATTTACAAGGGAAAAACAGTCAACAAAATTAAAAATAATCAAATTTGAAACAGTACATATGTCAGCCAAGTCTCTTAAATTGTTAATGCCCAGCTCTTGCTACGCTGGGACTCACGCTGCTCCTCGAAGCTTCTCAGAAACGCTTGGTACGAACGGACGCAAAAACCAGAACCCAGTTTGGCGACTCGATAATTATTTATTCTAACACCAACATATAGCCATTGTACAACTAAGCTTTACAACTAAGGTCTATGAACAAATATTACAATAATAAATCACAATATTACTTCTGACGGTTGTCTCCTGACTTCTTTCTGAAGAGCGGCTGATGAGACGATGACTGTCGTATTGGTGCCTCCGCGAAAATTGGGGAAGTTGGTTTTGAGCAAACAACCATGAATTGATCGTTCAATCTTCAACTACATTGACAACATATTAAAGTCTTTGTACCGATTCGATGAAAGGACGCAGTTGTAGAATTTTTATAGCTGCATCATAGTCAAAATAAAGTCTACTAATCATTCTATCCACAGATATGGATCAGTATCCGACAGTTTATAGTGTCACTGGACCACTGTTTGCAGTTCTCATCACCACTAGATACTAAGGCGGATACTGGTGTCAATCACGCCTCATAAACCGTTAATGCCCAGCTCTCGCTACGCTCGGGCCCACGCTGTTCCTTGAAGATTTCAGAAACGCTTAGTTATAACGGACGAAAAAACCAAAACACCGATCTGCCGCTTGAGATTTCTTTATTGTTACACCAACATATAAAAATTATAACTGAACTAAGATCTGTGAACAAATATTACAATAATAAATCATTGTATTACTTCTGACGATGTTTCACTCTTCTTTCTGAACAGCGACCGATGAGACGATGACTGTCGTATTGATGCCTCCGCGAAAATTGGGGAAGTTGATTTTGAGCAAACAACCAAGAATTGATCGTTCAATCTTCAACTCCATTGACAACTGGATATGACCTCTCCATGAAAAATCGAGGTTGTAATCCCTTGACTACCTTCGACAACAATGATAAATATCTCAGGACGTATTCATATTCTTATCTTAGGCACACTGTGTGAACAAGGGGGGGAACAATCGTAGAAGTGGTGAGATTCTGTAGATTTACAGACAGCATTGATTTCGAGCACACTGCAGGATGTCTCGGTAAGACTTTGGGCGCACTGAAGGATGTTCGAGGCAGACTGCCGATCAATGCCCCACATTCTGCAGTGAGCCCGATGAAATTGCTAGGTGGGTTGGTCGTCCGTATGTTTCATGGCAGATTTCAAGAACCTAAGAGCTTCCGATTTATCCATCACCGTTTCTAATCTGCAGAAGGCAAATTATACGTATTGGCTGCGACGTTTATGCAAAGTAAAATCTATCAATCACAACTAGTATAAGTGACCGTCCAGTGCTGAGCCCCTCCGTAAGCCGTGTGTGCCACTACCTATTGCCGAATAAAGCCATCAAGTGTGCGTCAAAGAAATGAAAAAATAAAATAAGGAGACCAGATAGGTCTGATGTACGCTACTTTTACTACAATTGAGTGTATTAGGTTTAAAGACCAAGGAATTTTGCAAGACTATTTACGATAAATTTCTGCAGGACAAGTGAATATCTGAGGCACATTCAAAATTCTGGTGTATGTCCATTATGGACATCGTAGACATTGCGTCCATTTTCAGTCTAACTTTTCATACCGCTAATAAGCGCTGTAATAATTTTAACATAATTTTTGTCAGTTGAATATATGAGGTTACATGGTGCTTGGTTAATCCTTGATTAGTTTGTAATTCACACTTGAATCTATTGCAGTACTAAACTAATTTCTGAATAATTATTAAGGAACGGGGCAAAACCTGGTATCAGTCAAGTCACATAAACCGTTAATGTCCAGCTCTTGCTACGCTGGGCCTCACGCTGTCCCTCGAAGATTTCCAGAAACGCTTAGTATTAACCGACGCAAAAACCAAAACACTGTTTGGCGACTCAAGAATTCTTTATTCTAACGCGAACATATAACCAGCAATACTGGTATTACAGAGTAAGATCTAAGAACAAATATTACAACAATAAATCATGATATTACTTCTGACAGTTTTTTAATCTTCCTTCTGAACAGCGACCGATGAGACGGTGAATAGTGGATTGATGACTCCGCGAAAATATGGAGAAGTTGGGTTTGAGCAAACAACCATTAATTCATTGTTCAATCTTCTACTTCATTGATGCGTGGGTATAAATAAATATATTTGGGATGAAAAGTCAAGCGTAGTCTTTCATGTTTTCTAACATTACATGAATAAACCTTGGCCTGAATTCGTCAAAATGGTGGAGTAATATGGGCCCGTAAGCATGTAGACAGAGAGAACCCACGTTGCACTCACTGTTTTTGGTTGCTTGTGAGGGGTAATTACGCCACGCTAATCACATGCAGTCTAAGCTTACCACATTTGCGTAGCGATAACTAATCTATATAGAGTTAGTTTCGGTTTTCCAAAATATTATTCAACAAAAATTTATAAAAATAATAATTTTTATTTCTGTAACAGCCATTTTTACAGGCATGAACATATGTACACATATGAAAACTTATAGAATATATAATATGATTTGTTAATTTAGAAATAAGTTGAGTACTGGTAAATGTGAGAGAAACATTTAAAATGAAGTGTACAAATAAGGAAATAGATATAGCGTCAAATCTAAACTGTGATTGAAAAAAATACATGTCAATTTCACGCGGGAATCATAAATGTTTGCGTTAGTTGGGAAGGTAGAAAGAGGCTACAGTCAGTTTCTAGGTCATGATGAGTTCCTGCGCCGGCTAGTTATATGTTTTCGTGAATTCGTTTTCGAGCGACTTTATTGCATATCCCCTCAATGACGCTTGTTGCTATGTTGCTATTGGTTTCAAGTGACCTTGGTTTTGGAAGAAGATTTAACTGATGTAATATTGCGATTTCATAGACATA